GGTTACCTGCTGCTGGTTTGTTTTTGTGCTGATCTGAGCAAAGGAGTCAGGTGGTCAAGTGTGCCCTCCCCATCCTCACGTCCAGGTTCTTGATGTTCCTTGTAGTGGGTTCAATAGTGACCCCTCAAAATATATGTGCAAGTCCTAACCCATGGAACCTGTGAATGTGACCTTATTTGGAAAAAGAGTCTGTGCAGATTAATTAAGTTTCTCCAGGTGAGATTATCTTGGATTATCCAGGTGCACTCTAAATTCAATGACAAGCATGCTTATAGGAGAGAGAAGGAGAGAAGACACAGACACGGAGAAGAAGCCAAGTGAAGACAGAGGCAGAGATTAGGGTCACGCAGCCACAGCCAAGGACCACCTGGAGCCACCAGAAGCTGACGAGGCAAGGAAGGATTTTTCCCCTAGAGCCTTTGGAGGGAACGTAGCCCTGCTGACACCTTGATTTCAGAATTCTAGCCTCCAAAAGTGAGAGAGAATCAATTTTTGTTGTTTTAAGTCACCAGGTTTGTGGCAGTTGGTTACAGCAGCCCTGGGAAACAAATATATTCCTTAATGTGCAACCCCGTTTCTTTCAGGAAGAATGAAATTAGCCAAGTGACAAAGGGGTGACTCCCTATGAGCTGTCACAGCACCAACTTATAGTGTGATTCTCCCTGTCACAGCGCTCACCTAGCGCCCCCGTGCCTGCTCCCTCTCACGTGAGATGCTATAAAGCTCTTATTGCCTGGGCAAAATGCACACTTTGTAGGGGATTTATTTACAGGCCAATGTGCCTCCACTGTGTGTGGTGGTTTCAATCGTATATCTAACTGTAGAGGATTTGAAAACTCTTTTGAAATGCTTTCCCATTTTTTATCAAATGGTCCTGAGTGCTCAACAAGGCCGTTATGTAACACATGGCGAACTTGACAAAGATCAGTTACATGGCTCACCGGAGAACTAGAACCAAGGTTTTTCAACTTGGACCAGCGCTCTTTCCACCCACCCCACTGGGTGCCGGCCCACACCGGGAACAGGGAGCAGGCTGTGAGGTGAAAGGAAATCTGCTGCCGTCTTCAAAACCAAAAGTATCACAGGCTCCTTCATTTTGATTTGATGGATAAAATGCCGAGGGTGCTAAGCCCCTCAGAAAATTGAAGAATAAGATGTGGTGCTTCTCACACTTTAATGTGCATATGAATCACCTGGGGAATCTTATTAAAATGCAGGTCCTGCCTCAGTAGGTCTGGGGTGGGGCCTGAGATGCTGCATTTCTTACAGGCTCTGGTTGTACCTGTGCTGCTGGTTTGTGGATCACGCTTTGAATAACAGTGAGATGGAGCTGCTCACTAATTTGTTCACATTTGCAGCAGTAAGCAAATTGACCATGCTTGCCCTTTGCAATTCGGTGGTAGGAATGTGGCTCTGAATTTGCCATTGCAAAGGAAATTGGTGACACTCAAGCTGGCAATACTCAGGGACCAGTTTTATTGTGGATCAATAACCATAAAAATAGTCATACCTTTTGGCCCAATAATTCCACTTATGGTTGTTAATTCTAAACCCAAAAGATGGAAAAATCTATGTGAACAATGGTGATCTACTACAACACTATGCATACTGAAAAAAGAAAACCTGTGCCTAATATAAAGGAAGTGATTACAAAAATTATAATAAATTCACTCAAAACAATATTGTGGATGTATATTTATCTTCTTTCCCTCTCCAAAAGCAACATGTCGGTAAAGGAATAAAAGTGGTGTGAACACACAAGATCAATGAATTAATGGATTAACGGTTTCAAAACTTTTTCCAAGATGGAAAGTGCAAGGAATTGAGGAGCATAACCACAGGCCTCTGTCTCTATTTGTAATGTTTTTTTTTTAAATTGGGTGGTGAGTACAAGGGTGATGTTCTTAGAATTTTTATACCTTTCTGTATGCCCGAAATATTTCAAAATTTAATTAAAAAGAAAGTGGATGGGGCCAGAGTGAAGAACATTATAACCTACAATGTTAAGTGTGAGAGTATTATAACAAAGCCACTTTGCCCAAAAAATCTAGCCTTGGCTCCTGAAGGCAAGAATTAGGCGTGAGACCAATCCCAGAGGAATGAAAAAGTCTGTCTCTGGAGCCTTTGATCCCTAGGTTCCCACCCCACTAAGAGACCATCTCTCCCCACTTACTACCACCACAGGAGAGGGGCAGTTTATTCTCCAGGGAAATTGAGCCTCATCAGCTCACAGCTCAGGCACATCACATCGTAAAGGACCAGCTGAAAACAAGAGAATTAATGGAGGATCATACTGAACTGTGGGAGTCTTGACCCCTCCGCTGCCCTGCTCTCAGCCCTCCAGGAGCCAAATGTATATGCCCACAGGCAAGAGCCTGGTGAACTACAACCTGTGGGCCAAATCCATGCCACTCCACTCCCCGTGTTTGCAAATAAAGTTTTATTGGTACACAGTCACACGTATTCATTCACAGATTGTCTATGGCTGCTTTTATGCTACAACACAAGAGCTGAGTAGTTGTAACAAACACCATCTGGCCCGCAAAGCCTAAAATATTTACTATCTGGATCTTGCAGAAAAAGTTTGCCTACTCCTGCTCTAGAGAAAAATAGCTGTCCCCAGAGGAAAGAGCCCAGATCAAGCCGCCCCGTGACCCGAGGGTGAAGCCCCTCAGCTGGCAAGCCCTGTCCACACACACTCTGAGCCTCAAGCAGGTTTGAGTAGCTCACTCTTAAGCACAAATGGATGTCCAGAGATTTTCCAGACACTCGAGAGAAACCCCAACGTGAAGGAGTGTGATCAAAACAAACAAGCAGAAAGAGGGACTTGGAGGAACCAAAAACTATTCAAGAAACGGAAAATAAAAATATAGAATTAGTATCCTCAGAGATATGAGAAGATATTTCATCCATAAAACAAGAGCTAGATGCTATGCTAAACAAGAGTGAACTCTGGAAACTGAAGAAAGTGGTAGCCCAAATTTAAAAAGTAGTTAAGTAGAATGACTGGAGGAACTGTCAAACAAAAAGATAAAAAGATGAAAAATCGGAGGGAAAATTTAGGAAAATTAGATTAGCAATTCAGGATGCCCAATATTTAACTAAAAAGAATTATCGAAAGAGAAAACAGAGGAAATGAAGGGTATGAAATTAGCAAAGAAATAATATAATATTGCTGGGAAATTTTTTTTATCTATTGCATGTTGTACCCAGCACACTAAATAAAAACAGCCAGCAAAGGCCCTGGAGAAATTTCAGAGCACTATAGCATAGTAAAGAGAATAAAGAATAAAGAGAAGATTCTACGTGTCCAGAGAGAAAAGAAACTAAACAAAAGAACAAGAAGCAACATGGATCCAGACTTCTCAATAGTAACACTGGATGCCAAAAACGTAGAGCAATGCCTTCAAAATTCTGAAGGAAAATAATTTTTAGCCTGGGGTTCATGTCCAGCACTATCAGTCAAGTATAAAGATAAAATAAAAACATTTTTAGACCTGCGAAGACTTGAAATATTTAGCTCTTATACATCCTTTCTTAGGAAATTACTAAAGGATGTGCTTCAACACAACCAGGATGTAAAATCAATAAACAGACATGGAATCCAGTAAGCAAGGACTCCAACACAGAAGTGAAGGAAGTCCCAGGACAATGATTTTGCATCAAGCCTTTAGAGCAAACAGCCAGATTGGAGCAAGAGGACTCAAGACTTTGGGGAGAGGGTCTCCAGGGAGACAGAACTGAATGATTCTCTGATGTGTTTAAGATTTGGAAAAATTATTGCTAGATGTTTTACAAATTTGGTAGAACACTTGTAAAAGGTAGTACGCTACTTAGCTCAGTAGGAAACAATTGTTATCTAGTTTAATAATGTGGACACTGACTATTGATTTAACAAAAATTGTTATGTCTCTTAGGAGGATCATGGGAAGAAATTGTGGGGGGAGTTGGAGATTAGTAAGTAGAAAGTTAAATCCTCATCTAAAGTTGATAATCAAGAACAGCTATAAAAACATATCATTTAGAAATATACAGGTAAATGCTAAAAGAAACAGAAGGGTAGAAAGTGGATGCCTCTGTAAGAAGAGATGGGAGGAAAAAAATTTCTATTACATTTTTTGTACATGAAATCATTTAGTACTATTTTGTTCTTTTAACTATTTACATGCATTTTAATAAAAATAAATTTTTTAAAAGCAGATTATGTGGCCAGGGTCGGCCCCGTGGCATGGTGGTTGTGTCCATGCACTCTGCTTCGGTGGCCCAGGGTTCACGGGTTCAGATCCTGGGCGTGGACCTGCGCCCTGCTTATCAAGCCATGCTGTGGCAGGCATCCCACATGTAAAGTGGAGGAAAATGGGCACGGATGTTAGCCCAGGGCCAATCTTCCTCAGCAAAAAGAGGAGGATTGGCCATGGATGTTAGCTCAGGGCTAATCTTCCTCACCAAAAAAAAAAAAAAAAAAGATTATGTGGCCATTTGAGTTACAACTAGAAAAACTAAGTTGCTTTGTGGAAAAATGCTTATGATGTGTTAAGTTCTTGTGGTCTGCCAGGATTTTAAAGTCTTTATAATAAGGAAGTTCTCCAGTTGGGAATGCTGGGCTGGCAGCCTGGAAGACCTATTGTGTCCTCAGTGTGCCCCAGATGCCTTGAGATCTGTAGTCTATGTCGGAGGACGATACACAAGTAGGTTTGGACCAGTGTATCAGAAGGCTAGCATAACCAGGGAGGGATGCACCAAGGTTCAGGTAGTGGTAAGTGGGGAAAAGATATAAAATGTACATGTCCACTCTGGCTGCAATAATGCAAACTGATGTGTTCATCGTGGGAAGGGCACAAGGACAAATGAAAACAGTTCGTTTGTCGGAGTGGGAGTGGTGGTAATTTTTTCCTCTTTAATTTAGAATTATATTAAGACTGATAAAATATTTGTGTAAAACAGAACAAAAGTTTTTATGGGAAATCAGTGGCGTTCTTTGCTTTGCTCCCCTCCTGCAGCTTAATCGCTTACACGGAACAGTATGTGGAATATGATCTGTTGATTACACCAGCCGAGCCGTCCAATCCCTGGGTCAGCGACGATATCGCTTTATGGGACATAGAGATGAGGTAAAAAAAAAAAATGTTTTAATATTTGGGGGTTGGAGGGATGTAGAAAACAATTCATGAGATTGTGAGATTACATTATTCTCTACTTTAATTCGACTCTATCACTAGTACAGAAACCTCTCAAGTAACCTCTCGAGTGAGTTCTGCTTACTCCTGGTTTCTACCTCCTTATAGCTTTGGTTTGAACGTGGATCCTTTTTGGTTTCTCTCTGACCCTTTGGATGTCATGATAACTGGGACAGTCCCTCACATTTCCAAGTTCTGATTGCTGGAAGGGAAGAATCTGTTGACCAATTTGTTATTTTCATGTTAGACAGCAGCAACAACAATAATAGCTAGCACTGCCTTGGTGCTGGCCACAATGTAAGTGTCTTACGTGGAATCCCCACAACAGGGAAACAAAATTAATCTCACCATTGAACAGATGAGGAAACTGAGGCACAGAGGAGTTAATGAACTTGCTCAAGGTCACACAGCAAGTAGGTGGCAAAGTTAGGATGAGAACCCAGGCAGAGGGCTCCAGAGCCACAGTTTTCATCACTCTGCTCTTCTGGAGTCCCTGGCAGTGGTGATTCCATCGAGTAACTCCTCACCCGTGAGGGAAGCTGGTGTGTTTATTTAACAGCTGAGGAACCGGAGCCCAGAAGGACTTGGAGCACATTCACAATTACGGAGGGAAACGCGCCGACAAGTCTGGTGTGCTGTGCCGTTGTACCCTTTTGGCCCTCGGCTAGAAGACTTTTTATTTCGTTTTTCATTTCTTGATATCGCTCTCATTTGCTTTCACTCCTGTTCTTTTTCTGGCTTCTTTTCTTGAAATGGAAAAACCTTATAAAAAGTAATAAAAGTCATAAACGCTTATTATAAAAAGTTCAGACTATTCAGACGTGCATAATGACGAAAATTCTCTCTTCCTCCAACCCAGTCTCATTTTCCAGGAAGAACCTTTGTTTATAGTCTAATGCCATGGTTCCCAAACTGCACCAGGGCACCTGGGCCCCTGCAGGGAACTCACGGGGTTCCACGGCATATTCTGAATCTTTGAGGGAAACACAGTGAAGTATGTCACAGTGACATTTGTCACATACTGCATGAGTTTAAGGTAGTTCACCGTTTTCAACATTAGATCACGTTCCATTCCTTTCAGTGATGTCATATCTCTGCAAATCTGATAAAAAGCAGGTACTGTGCAAAAATCAACATGGCCAAGGAAATGAGGGTGGAGGGGCCCAATCTGATTTCAAGTTTGAGAACATGTGCAGTACTCAATAGTGCACATTGTGGCTATTTAAGAATGAAGTAAACCTATTGTTTTTTCTTTCAATTTATATGTATTTCAAATAGCTACTAAGTTGTTAGGACATAAATACATATTAAGTCCTTCAGACCTGACTTTTTAGTAAACAAATCTGTTAGATATTTTGGGGCTGGTCCAGTGGCTTAGCAGTTAGGTTCACCCACTCTGCTTTAGCAGCCGGGGGTTTGTAGGTTCAGATCCTGGGCACGGCCCTACATACTGTTTGTCAAGCCATGCTGTGGTGGCCTCTGATATAAAGTAGAGGAAGATGGGCACAGACGTTAGCCTAGGGCGAATCTTTCTCAGCAAAAAGAGGAGGATTGGCACTGGATGTTAGCTCAGGGCTAATCTTCCTCACACACACAAAGAAAATGGTTAGGTATTTTTTTGGCCCAGGGCACCTGAAAAACTTACTGAGACACTAAGGATGCCGTGAACTCAGAAAGTTTGGGAACCTTTGATTTAGTGTCTATCCCTTTAGATTTGTGTGCCTATACAAGATCGTATCCATAATGGGTTCATTATATACACATTTTCCCATAATTTTTTAATTAACAATATATCCTAGCAGTCTTTCCATGTAAGCACATATACATCCACCTTATCCTTTTTCATAGCTACATAGTGTCCCCTTGCATGAGTGTAGTATAACTTAAACAATCCCAGGTCATAAATATTTAGGTTATATCCTTTTTTTTTTTTTTTGGTAATATAAACAATGATACAAGGAACATCCTTATACACAAATCCAATTTTTTCTTTAGAGTAAATTTCTAGAAGTGGAATTGCTAGGAATGGTAAGCATGTTTTAATTTTAGTTCATGTGGCCAGACTCCTCTTGAGCAAAACTATAACAATTTTTTTTCATTCCTGCAGCTTAAAAGTGTCCATTTCCCCACATCCTCACCAGCTCAAACATTATCAATCTTTCATCTTTACAAATCTGGTAGATTAACATAAAAATCTCATTTTACTTTTCATTTCCTTGTTAATATACTTGAGAATCTTTCTTAATGATTATTAGATATTCATTTTTCTTTTGTGACAACTGTTTTTGCGTTCTCTGCCCATTTTTCTAGTGACGTGTTTTGTTTGGATATTGGGATATAAAACAGTCACGTTTGCTTGGATCGTGTATTTTATCTTTTCCCAGATATTTTATGTTTTATGAATCTCATTCTTCTTGTTTCTTTTTCTCTTCCTTGACTTTTGCTTATTAATCAAGTTTTGTATTAGCTTTTGTTACTCTAGTTTCTAATCATATTTACTTTTAAATGTTTTAATTTAAAATGTCATTATTTCATGCAAATAGTAACGAAGTATATAAAATAAAAAGTAGAAATTTCCCTTTACCTCATCTAAATTCCATTCTTCCCCAGAGCTAAGTTAACCTTATATATTTTAAACTAATATTTTGAGACACATATTTCTCTGTCAACATTAAAAGAAAAATAATATGAAGATGGGTATCATTTTTCTAATATTTTTGACATGTCTTAGGTAGTCCCTTTAATCTGATCTAAGAACTTAAATCTTTCTTTAACTCAGGGTCTTTTCTTCCCTTTTTTTGGTAAATTACTGCTACTCTTTTTTCCATTCTATCCTTTCTTCTCAGGAAATCCTTTTGTAGGAATTCTGGTCATCTGGGATGTAGCAGCCATATCTCTTTTTTTTTTTTTCCTATTATAATTTCCATCTCTTAGTCTTTTTACTCTATATTTAAGGATAGAATTCCTTGAATTACTCTCCAGAGTCACCAGTTAGGTTTTCAGTGGTTTCCATTCTGTAATTTTATACTTTAACGGGTTTGTCTTTTCCTCCTGAGTGTTGGGAGGGGTGGCTGACAATCATGCTTTTCATTTCCAAGAATTCTTAATATTTCTTGGGCTGCTTTTTCTTAGTAATCTGCTCTGTTCTATTGATATTTACCCTCTTGAGTCTCCCTGGGGGTGGTATACAGATTTTTTTTTTCATATTTCCCTCTATTTATGCCACTTAGTCTGTTTCACAGGGGGTCATTGATCAGAGAATCATTGTTTCATTACTCCTGTCACTGTCAGAGCACATCAGTCTTTTCATATACCCAGCAATTTGGAGGACTGCTGGTTTTTGTAAATGAAGGTCTTGGCTTTCAACCCTGGCCATGCATTAGAACCACCTGAAGAGTTTATAAAAAAATACCAATGCCCAGTCCCCTCCCCAGGCCAATTAAATCAGAATTTCTGCCAGTGGACATTGGAATTTTTTTTAAATCTCTCCAAATGATTCTAATGTGCAGTCCTGGTCCAAATGGACTACATCGTAGCTGGTGAGGGCTCCCTCAGCAGTTGTGTGGGTCACTGGTTCTCGAACCATAGGGTGCATCAGAATCACCTGGGGTGTCATTAAAAATACAGATGCCCTGGGGTGGTTCTGGGTATCTCTATTTTTAGCCAGCATTCTAGGTGATTCTGAGGCATAGCGCAGTTTGAGAAGTCATGGTGTGCTTCATGGAGTCCACCCTCCCTGCCCCAACCTGGGCAGGCTTTTCTCTGAACAGTTCACATGACTGTAGGGCTTCACCTGAGTGTATTAATGGGAGGACACGAGTAAATCGGCGGGGTTCCCCTCTGGGTCCTGGGTTGGTGGTCCAAGAACAGACTGAAAGACTGCATCCTCTCTCGGAGTAGGACAGATGGCTATGGGGGTCCATGGGTGGTAGAGCCCCACCTTCCCTTAGCATGACATCCTGCAGCTGGGTGCTCTGCTCTGTGTTTCAGGCCCTGATGAGGTTTCCAAAGTTCTTTAGTTTCCTCTCCACGGTGCTCCCCAATAAGTCCACTCTTCTCCCTCCTGCTGAGGGTCTTAGGGGAACCCGGTTAGATCTGCAGAAGCCGAGAAGTAGGGGAAAAGCTGACTGTCTTTAGAGGCCCCGCTCTTTGCCAAGACATTCTTCCCATCTATATTTGCTGTTCCACCCCTAGGTTACGGAGGCACTGCCCTCTGGTTTTATTGCCCATATTAGAAGCTGGCCAGAATACACCTCCCTGTCCTTAGGAGACCTCTCTGCCATGTGGAGCCTGTGTTCCATATCTCTGAGTTTCTTCATGTGCCCCCTGTCCAATGCCCACCGACAGCCTCTACTTCTGGTCCTGCTGCTCAGAGCTTGGGGTTTTCCCAGGCCTCTGTTGGGGACACCCATCTACTTTCTTCTCACATGGTCCCACTGGAGTCATAGGTGGCTCTCGATCAGCTTTGTCACCAGTTCAGTCCGCCTGCTTCATACCTTCGTGAAGTTCCTCAAAGTTGTCATCTACCGTAGAAAATTTGTTTGCCTTTACAGATTATGAGGTCTTTTTTTATACTTCACTGAACTCCAGACTCTTGCCATGTCCGTCTTCCCCAGATCCTCACATGGCTGGCTTCCCTTCTCATTCAAGTCTCGCTCTGCCTTGGTGTCCCTTTCTCAGAAAGGCCTCCCTGACCATTCAATCTCTAGTGGCCACTCCATCCATCCAATCATTCTATATTACATCCTCTTCCTGGTTCTCTTTATAAATAGGACTTAAAATTATATCATCACTTAGACCTGTGTCTGGCACACAGTATACACTCAAAAAGTATAGGTTGGATGAAGGATAGATGGAGAAGTGACTATTTCTTTGGTCATTTCTTGGGTATTTGGAAAAGGAGGAGAGGTAAGTACATGAATTTAATTCACCTT